CCATTTCCAAACCGGGCCTCATCTGCGGAGCGTTTGAAGAACTTTTTGTCACCACGTCCTGTAGTTTATGCTCACCAAATGTCAGGTGTGTACGACGAACCCCCTCGGAGGAGTTTGATTTAGAAAATGGCCAAAAATGGCCATTTTTCAGCAAAAATGGCCAATTTAGAAGGTGGCGCTGTGCAGCAATTTTTCTATTGAAGTGTGTATTGTTCTTCCAAACTATAAAATCTTTCACCGGGTCTGATGTACATGGAAATTTTGGTGAGTTTTCGAGTATGTTTAGGGCCTCAAAAACGTGTGTCTTTGGCACGAATAATAATAATAATAATAATCCGAGCAGTTCCAATAGGGTCTTCGCACCCTTTTGGGTGCTCGGACCCTAAATATTTCCCCTTTAAAAGCAGCAGAGTGGAACTATCAGTGCTCAAGAACATATAAACCACTCTTTAGCAGATTGACTGTCCGCCACTAGTATCCGGATTTGTCGTGCCTCGTGTGAACTTCAGGTTCAAAGATAAAACTTGAACCACGAACACTGATGTAAACACGCAGACAAATACGCAGTGAATGCACCACGATCAATAAAACATGTCTCCGTGCACATTATGTCTGCGTGCCATGTTGTCCCTCCATCGTGTAGCAGGACGTTACAACCAGCAGTAAGCTGAGCTTCTATGATAGTCGGGGAACGTATAAATTATAAAACCTTCAAGTTTGGATTACAACTAATGCTCGCTGTAGCATTAATTAATCATAACGAGATGTTCTACATTTTTAATAAACACAAAAACAAAGATGGGGGGAGTTTTTTTTGTGCTCCACATTTCCGCGGCACAGCGTCGCATCTCCGGCAGGTGATTTATGCTTTTACTGTGTCAGAAAAGCTGCATTTCTGTGGCTGTTTGAGACACAAATATAACATACTGCGATTAGTTGCAGGCGGCTTAAAGTTGCACAGCTTCTTTGATTTTCCAAATAATCTGTGACGCTGCTGCAGCTTCCCTCTCTGTCCTCTATCTCCGGCTGCCTTGTGCCAGGTTAAACTGTCATTAAAGCCAATCAATGCGTTCCTCTGGACCGCGATGCAGCCAGAACGACTGTAATGAATCAAGCTTAGCTGAGTCTGACCTCTCCTCGGGGCAGCGTGCGCTAGCGTAAATGGATGTGCGGCGGGGTCGATGGAGGCCTTCCTACAGTCCATTACCGCCACCGCCCTGGAGCGAGCCGCGACGGGAGCCACCACGCTGCAGAATGCTTCGCCCACAGGAGGCGAACACGACTCTTTGCTGTTTGTCGAACATGTTCTGTTAGATAGCATCATAAAAAGAAGGCAGAGTGCTTCACAAAAAATAAGAACTGCGTCGAAAATGAATGTTTGACAGTGAAGGAAACAAACGAGGCCAGTAAAGCTAAAAAAAAAGAGCCACAGCTTCTTAAGGGAAGTCTAATATTGGTTTGTCTAATTTTAACTTTGATTATTTTAATTTTCTCGCTGTGACTCAGACCGAAACACAAAATGACAGAGAAAAAAAATAGAATTGAAATGAGACAAGTGGAGATGGCTGGGTTAGGATAAGATTGAACTTTATTAACCCCGAAAGAAATTCTTGAGTCTCCAAATATCATTCAGAAAATACAAAATGACATAACAGTGCGTAAAAAGTACATAAAAAGCAGTAACATAGGAAACGTGAGCTGAAATTAAAATTACAACAGAACAGTACAGGGTAATTATGATGAGGTAAGAGGTAACATGAGACACGATGATGAAACTTTGCACCTGAGAAATGAGATTAAAATGAAATATTCAATCAGCAGCGTTACTCTGATGTTTAATATTAGCGTGGATGGTGCTTTAATAATACGTCTCCTGCACACCTTTGTCCACCAATTGGTCGAATGTGGCCATAAAGCTTCGATAAATCTTCAGTGTTGGAATTACAACTCAAGCACACTAATTGACCCCATCTGTCTTCTATAATTAATTTTTACGGCAAAGCGAACGGAACCCGGGACGAGCTCCGGCTAACTCGGGAAGACCTTTAGATCCAAACATCCATCCTGTAACCTGAATGTCACAGTTTCAACCCAACTGTCAGCGAAGTGACGGGAACGGCGTCTCTGTAGGTGATTTTTACTGTGACGTAAAAAAAAAAAAAGCGTATTACACAAAAACATGTCGGTTTATGTGCTCTAGAAAATTCCTCTGCAGTGTCTGCTCCCTGAAGCTTTATAAATGTCCCAGATATGGCTTCCCTCTCTCTCTCTCTCTCTCTCTCTCTCTCGTAAAACATTTACAGCACAGACGCTCCTGCCTTCTGCTGGGGAAACATGCCAGACTATGATGGTAATTCCACACTTGCTGTCTGTCATTGCTTTATCAGGTCAGACACTCGACTCCAGGACGGTCTCTCTTTGCTCCATCATATGCTGTTGTTGCTCAGAAGAGCTTCAGTTCAGGCTACTGAAGACGTGTTTAGTTTGTTGTTGTGCTGCAGCAGAACATCTGGGCGGCGTTGTTTCAAGGACATATTATTAATGTTACTTGGTTTTCTGGAGGATACAGAGCTCATGTTCATGTGCTGATGGCGGTAAATGGAACAAGGGTTTGCATCCCAGCAGATCAGTATGAATTGATTATCCATCACTTAGCTGCACAGCTCTGTGCGTCGACCACTGCTGTGCAGAGATGCACCAACAACTGGTGGATGGATTCTCCTGAAACTTGACACAGACTTTGGTTTTGTCCATACTTATGTTCACCAGCAGCAGCTGCATTCGGTTGCCTTTTTTCTTCTTCTAGTTCTCAATAAGGGCAGCAAGGTGGCGCAGTTGGGAGCACTTGCTAGAAGGTTGCCGGTTGGCGTCCCGGTGAGGACACCCGGGATCTTCCTGCGTGGAGTCTCCATGTTCTCCCCGTGCAGCGTGGGTTCTCTCCGGGTTCTCCAGCTTCCTCCCACAGTCCAGAAACATGCTGAGGTTAATTGGTGATTGTAAATTGTCCGTAGGTGTGAATGTGAGTGTGCTTGGTTGTCTGTCTCTAAGTGTAGCCCTGTGATAGACTGGTTACCTGTCCAGGTGAACCTGCCTTCACCCTGAGTCAGCTGGGATAGACTCCAGCCCCCCATGACCCTAGTGAGGATTAAGGTGTAGAGATGATGGATGGATGGATAGTTCTCAATAAAAGATCTCAACAACTATGAAATAAATTGCCATGTGGTGCAATCTGGTGCCAACATTCACATTTTCTCAACTTGATCCCGTAACTCTACATCTGGTTTTACTGTCCTGTTTATTCATCATCTCTACACCTTAATCCTCACTAGGGTCATGGGGGGCTGGAGTCTATCCCAGCTGACTCAGGGTGAAGGCAGGTTCACCTGGACAGGTAACCAGTCTATCACAGGGCTACACTTAGAGACAGACAACCAAGCACACTCACATTCACACCTACGGACAATTTACAATCACCAATTAACCTCAGCATGTTTCTGGACTGTGGGAGGAAGCCGGAGAACCCGGAGAGAACCCACGCTGCACGGGGAGAACATGGAGACTCCACGCAGAAAGATTCCGGGTGTCCACCTTGCAGCCCCATGCTTTTACATACATAGAATGTTTGAACAAATGATATGCCGAAGTCAAAGCAAACCACTGAGGCCACTTTAATGATCATATAGCTTTAAAACCAACAACAACAGTATTAATTGGTAAACATTGGCAAAAAAAAAAAAAAAAAAACAGTAAAAACATCATATTGACTAAACAATTGTATTCTAGCATGATCATTTAGCACAAAGCGTCACTGTACTTAAATAAAGCCTCATAGAGCTGCTAACAAGGCAGTAAATCCTTCATAGGTTTACATTAGAGCCCGACTGGCCAGCAGGTAATGTTGGCCGTCACATTTAAATCAGCTTGTATGTTGTTTAATACACACCCATATGTAGACTTTGGTTGTTGTTGTTTTGAACATAATACTGGCTGTGATTTAGAAATGGTGTCATGATTTAGTTTGTTTGCATGTAGCAGAGCAGGAATAGTAGATACTGGAGTCAACTGGTGTCTTCATGGTACGGTACTTAACTATTTTATATATATATATTGCTGAAAGGTTAATAAACAAACACCCCGTTTTTTTTTTTATCCCTTTTCAATAAAACATCATGCAGGAGTTTTTCTTTTCGGCATCAACCCCTAAAACCTTGGATCAGTCGGGCTCTAATTCACATCCAAATTAATCCAATAACTAATCCACACATCCCAGAATGAATCAGATTAGCCGTGAGTCCTTAATCCTCAGCAAACTACTACAAACACACCTGAATGTCATCAATTTGCGTTAATCTTCATTTACTGTGATATTTATTTAGAACACTTTCTGCTGTTTCCACCTTTTAGATCCTGACAGGATGCAACCTGACATGACTAGTAAAGGTACAAAGAGTTTATTGTGCATCCTGTTTTGCCTTTTTTTTTAATTATACGGTATGTTTATTTATAAGCAGCTCCATTGGGAAGCAACCTTTTGACCCTCAGTAGGACACCTTCATAATCCTATCAAAGCTCTGGATGTAGCACAGAATCTGTTCCTCGTTCCTTCAGATGAAACCTCACAGTTATTTCCCAGCTGACGGGCACAATATATATACGTTCACTCTCAAAACACAAACTGCGAACGCTCAAGCAGAACCAGCGTTTGTGTTGTTTGGTGCATAAAAATACAAGAAAGCGTCATAATGTTTAAAATAACCCCTGAATATAACACGAGCTCCCGTAAAAACATGAAACTTTATGCACGTTTAACACAAACTGCTTCGGCTCAGACTAAAAGCATTCTCTCGTTCCTTCACTTCAACATTCGTGTTACCATCGCTGGGGGTCGAGCTTCACCAACAGGAGTAGGAGAACAGCGGGTACTGGCTCCAGTCGGCCGTGCTGCTGCTGCTGCTGCCGTGGTGGTAGCCGTGTTGTTGGGCGCCGTGTTCAGCCGTGGACAGGGGATGAGGCGGAGGGTGGAGGAGGGTCTGTGTTCCATCTACGTCACCGGTGGGGAACGGGAATCTAGCGAACTCCACAGATCTGGACGGAGGAAGGAGGAGCGAGGAGGTTAAACGTCACAGTCATGCATCTTCAACAAGTTTTTAAAGACATTTTCTGGAAAGTTGGGGGGGAAGGACCTGAAGCAAAGGGTCATGAGCGGGACTCGAACCCACGACCACTGCGTCAGGGACTGTAGCCCCTGTACATGGGACGCCAGCTCAACCAGGTGAGCTGTAACGACGCCCCACATGTCGAGTTTTTAAGGGCGCAAAAAGTGCATCGAAGTTGAATTTATTCAGACCTGTACGGTTGGTATGCCGCGGACGCCGGCACCATCTGCTCCTCGCAGCTGTAGTCGTACTCGTGCAGCTCCAGGGGCTCGGGCTGGACGCTCTCCTGCTCCAGAGACCAGCCTGGAAGGTGACCCCCCTTCGACGGCTGCTGCGTGGAGGCCTGATTCTTCTGTGCCGGCGCTGACTGAGAGGTGGAGGGCATCCTCTGCAGGCCTGAGAGGGAAATACAACCATCAGTGGGATCTCACAGGAGTGTCAAGATGAGGAACACTTCTTCACACCAACAGGATTTGATTTAATACAGATTGTGTGAATTAAAACCAAGCCTACCTGGAGAAGTGTTGCACAAGTCCTTCCTGTCCTGCCTCTTTGCAGGAGGACTTTTATTTGAACGACACCTTGAGAAAGACAACATAAAACGCATTATTCTAAATACATCCCTGCACGTTCAGGTTTTATTTTTCACGGTATGTTTGCATCAACCTAAAACACCATAAAAACCGCAACACAAACACTGGCAAACTAGACAGAGGAGATGTGCCAGCTACGTTTAGATGTACTTCTGTGCAACAAATTCAGTCCTTGCAAGAAAATGAACTCCTACCGTTTGCTGTGAGAATGTGTGCCGCCCTCCCTGAATCCTTTAGCGAAGGGGTTGTGGTCGATCTTTAATTTGGTAATCTTTTTTAAAAAGCAGGAAAAGATTAAACAGACTTTAAATTAAACAAACATCCTCAAATTGTGCAACAGCTTTCAAGTGACGAGTTTTATGTGTGACAGGACTTTTGTTAAACGTGTACCTTTGGATTCTGGTACGCTGTAACCGCGGTGAAGACGGTCTCTGGGAAGGAAAAGGTCTGAAAGGAGCCCCAGCGCACCGTGTACGGACTGTCCGCCTGGATCACGTGAAACCTGGGGCAGTAGCGGTGCATGGAGTGCAGGATGATCTGGTGGGCAGCAGTTGGAAAGCAAGCAACATGCATAGTTGAATAAAACGGATATCACACATGACGTGGGGGGAAAAAAATCCCAACATGAGAATCGTATTACGTGGCCGTGCTGATCCAAGGTGTTGTTGGTGAGCTTCATCTTGAGGAAGGACAAGGACTGCTTCATCCAGTGAGTCCCTGTTGCAGGGGAGTCTGGGTGGGTGAATGTCCGACACGGGGGCTGGGGCTCTGCCTTCCCTGCGACCTCCCACTGCTCCTTTTTCCACTACAGAGACGTGGAGGGGGAGGAGGGTTACCAAGTGTGAAAGACTGATTAATCATGAAGCACAGCAGATATGTTTTTTGTCATGTCGTGTTGTGGATTTATCGCTGTGCTTCAATATATATTCTCTTCTGGTCACTTTTGTTGAAGGAAAATCACAGAAAAAAAACCCCCAAAATCTCCTGTGGTGCTTAATTAATGTACCGCATTGTTTTCAAAGTGTGTGCTAACAGCGATATCTGTGACCAAATGGGGCCGTGCAAATGATGTAAGAGCTGTTGAATGTATGGATGGCTGGCTGCTCCGCATTCACTGATTGCGAATGAGGAGGGATGCTAATTGATTGGGCCTCCAGCCGAGAGTGCACAAACAGGAAGCAGTGAAAGGCTTTGATATGCAGCAGCGAGCGGCCCACAGTGGGCAGACCCATGTCTGGCTGCAGACTGCTGCCTGTTACATGCTGCTGCTGTTAATCCCAGTGAACAAAACAATGAAAACCACCAAATGTGCAGCCGTGCATGCTCAGTATGACCGTACCTTGTATTTGAAGCCGTCTACGGGAACCATGTCCATCATGAGGACATAGCTGGTGTAAGGCTGGAGGCCGGTTACGCTGACGTTGCAGTGCGGAAACATTCTCCTGCAACAAAGTCATGCGTTGGTTTAAATCATTTTGGGAAAGTAATGGAAGCAGCTCTGGTATTTATAGAGAGCAGAGATCTACTGTTGAACGTGTTTCACATCTTAATTTAGCTGCTGTCTAAATGTGCATTCACCTCCCGTGTTTGGTTATAATCATCTCCGTCCCGATGCTGTGGAAGGACTTCCACAGATCAGCGTTCTCCAGGGTCATCCTGATGGCGCCCTGCTGGTACGAGTGAGCTGCTGCAGGAGACCGAGGCATGCTTAGGTTCAGTCTGGACTCTGTGGAGAGAACACAAAACAGCTGCGTTTGTAGAATATACGACTGACTTTAAGTTGATAGAAGTATGAAAAACAGGAGAAAAAAAGCCTCTCATTACACAGTATTGCTCAGTTGTTCCACTTAAAATGTTTTGTGCCACAGATAAAAGGATGCGTGCTCGTCCTCACTTTCATATTCTCCTTCGAGTCGGTAAAATATTAATGACAGTGTGATTGCAGTTTCCACCGGATGGAATTTGTGTCAGAGAAGAAATCAGAAACGAGGCAAACGAAACAACATTCAGAGACTTGAGGCGTCTGGCGTGAGTTACCGACAGTCCAGAATCATTCAAGTCTTCCAACATTAACAGGCCCGGTTTCACACAATGCACGCTCACGGTGCCGAGTCACAACTTAAACTTACCAGAGACGTGGTGCATGTTGCTGTCTCCTCCTGTTATCACCACCAACGGCACTCCTTCAAGTTTAGAGACTAAAATGCTGCTTTCAAATGTCCCAGCTGTAGTCAGGGGGTTCGTTTCCCTGAATGACCCGGGCCTTGAACTAGATTGGCCGCTGGAGAAAAGGTGTGGTTTAAAGAGCCACGGGGTGCAGAGGGGGGCAGGTAAGTGGGATTGTGTGTAGATGTTGGTGACTGCTTATTTAAATGTCTCAGCGTCGGTTTGTGGCGATAAAAGTGTCTCTTTGTGCTAACAGAGCAGCAAAGTCATTCGTTTTGGTTAATTTTTACGGCGGTCAAAGGGAGACGAAGTTAAAGTAGTCATGGAGGAAGAGTTTTCATTTTATTCTGGGTTTTAAAGAGACACAAACAGTCACCAGATAGGCTCCTGTTATATTAAATAAGAGCAAAAACAGCTAAATTCTTCTCTTTCTGATTTGTTCTTCTTCCCCTCTTTGCCTTGTCGTTGTAGGAATTGTACTTTTAGACACAGAAACATTAATAGCAGTGGCTGATTTTCATATCCGACCAGTTTTTTGACTGTGACGAAGCCGTGGTCGCCGACTACATACAGTGTGTATGAAATGCATTAAATATTCATGTCCCCCATTCCCCCCCCTGGCAGTCCAAACATGGTGATCAGAATTTCAAAGTGGCTTCGAGACAAACCGGCCCCTTCTCTGCAGCTCTGTTTGTGTATTCAGACCCGAGTGGAGCGATTGGGCCGAGCCTTGACAATGGCTGATAATGCTGCTAATACGACCAAATGGCCTCATCCCCCCCCCCAGATCATGCTACCTTAAGTGTCCTGGGACGACGGTGGGCTCTCCGACGGAGCCAGCCGTTAGCACCCCGTTCACATGAAAGCCTGACGGGAGGAAGGAGGGGGGAGCAGCAGTTCTTTAGAGGGCAACACTGGAGGGTTACAAACCAGAGAAGTTGTTCATTTCAACAGTCAGTCTAAACTCTGCTGCACAAATGTGTCCTCAGTTCTGGTTTAGATCCCACAACTAAAGCTACAGATAAAGAAAATGAACACGTCTGTAGAGTCTCAGTCATTTCGGTCGGTTTCAGCAGAAAGGAACCGGACTTCTTTGAACTGAAGAAGCCTCTTGGATGAAAAGTGAATAAATAAAACACACTTTGACCTTTTAATCCGTATATCATCTGTTCCTTTCACCCAAAATCAGGAAATGAAACATGATTCCTTTATGACTGAAATTTAAAAAACAAAACTGCTTTTTTTTTTGCACTGGTAGAAAAAAAAGAGTCAAGTAAGAAACGAAGAGGTTTCTTTGAACCGAAGAAGCCTCCTGGATCAGAGGTGAAAAGCTTCAAAAGAGAAGTCCAGTTGCTTCCTACTGAAGCTCTGAGGATTAAAGTTAACACATGACGTCCTCACTGGGCTGCTTTTTGAGAAGGAATCAATTAGATGTTTGCATGTCACTTTCAATCTGCTCTGTGATCCACACAAGCCATCGAACTTATAAGAAAACATAAAAAAAATTGGCTCAGGTGGTAGAGCTCCTCTGATCGTAAGGTTGGCGGTTTGATCTCCGGCCTCTTCACAGTGTTCTTGGGCAAGACACTGAAGCCGAAGTTGCTCCCAGTGGCAGGTTAGCGCCTTGCATGGCAGCTCTGTCGCCATTGGTGTATGAATGGGTGGATAAGAAACACACTGTAAAGCACTTTGAGTGCTTCTAAAGTAGAAAAGTAGATCACAATGGCTTCTATCTGAGCAAATTTTTAAACTTCAAAAGTTTTGAAGTTCAGATCTAGTGTCCAGCTACAGTCAGAAGTTGTGTCTGAAGATATATCGTTTACCAGAGCAGCCTGGTTTCCCTCTTTGGGTTTTACAGCGATCTCAGACAGTGTGAGAGGGCGACTGGCTGCCTCGATGCAACCTCTCTGCTCCAGCTGAAGGCATGTTGAAACACTTCTCCTCTGCTTAAATCAACTCAAGGCCTGAAGATGGAATTCGCTCTGTTGCTGCCCGCGGCGTGTGTCACCTCTGGAGCTACGCTGCAGAGTCGTAGAATAAGAACATCTGCCTCCGCTAATGATGTTTTGTCGAGATGGACGGCGCCGATTAGGGGATGTTTCTGCGTGGCAGCGGTAGTCCAACATCCCTGCAAGCTGCAGACGAGAATTGCAAAAAGATATTACCGGCAACGCTTCTCCTCGCATTACGTTTGTTTTGGTGTTTTTGCGAATGCATCACTTCTGCTGCAGTAAAAATATCTTATGGTGACAGGAAATGCTGTGGTTTTAGCAGTTTCGTCATGTTCTTCTAAGCTGCAGCTGGAGGATGCAGTGCGTGACCCCAGTGCTGGTGGTGCTGGTGCTAGTTTACAGTTTGGATGCAGAGGAATCGTGAGCAAACGAGTGGAAAGAAAGAATTTGAAGTAGTCGAGGTGCCCCAAAGAAAAGCATTTCATTTCCATGGAAAGGGAAGTGTGGGTTTGTGTGGGGAGGGTGAATTCACACCTTTTTAGCCTCCTTCATAAAAAACTCCAAGCCTGAAACCGCCAAACTGATCTGTAATCTGATGAATCCAAACTGATCTTATCATGAAGCTGCAGTAAAGTCGTTCTACCGGTAAAAGATTCCTAAGATACCTACAATATATAAACTACACTGATCTTAGCACACATGTAAGGCATAAGAAATGTCCACCACTGCCACACCAATGCAGAGAAACCTCACAGAAGTTTCATCAACGCTCTCTCTTGCCAACACTGCCCCCTACTGGATCCCTCTGTAAAAACCACTGTGACCACTTCAGCCCACTGTAAGGCTTCAACACTTTGTCTCATCTCCTACGAATCTGATCAGCGCGTAATCAGTAACGAGACGAGCTAAAAATCAAAGTTCGGAACGGAAATTTAGCATTTAGCATCACGGGAACACGCGAAGGAGATAAGAGAGGTGCTGCAGACGGGGTTGTGATCAGATAAGAAGGAAAAACTGTACACAGAGAAATAAATCAAAGTTATACAGCTGCAGTATGGACGATATGGTAGCAGAACAAAGACAAGCACAACAAATAAAACCTCCTGCCTTATGTTGTGTAGGTCCACAGTTATGCCCAACTGGGGTATTGACTCGGTGTCTCTGGAGGCGTCCTGTGATGTCTGACAGCAGATCCTTTAGGTCCTGTGGGTTTTTGTGGATCAGACTTGTTCCAGCACATCTGCGTAGTTGGATCTGGGGAGTTTGGAGGCCCGGTCAACATTCAGGGCTCTTGATCAGGGTCCTCGAGCTGAGCAGTTTTTGTGGTGTGATGCATTGTCCTGCTGAAGGAGATCAGGAACCTAACCCCAACCCCATGAACACCAGGACTCAAGGTGTCCCAGCAGAACGGCGCACTATGACAAGACACAAGTTTTAATGTTTCAGAGCTCACGATTCAAAGTGACATCACCGTAAGACTGACTTCAACAGGTTAGACATGCCATATATTACTACACATGGGACCCAAACTACAACCATCGATCCATCCATTATCTATACACCACTTAATCCTTACCAGGGTCGCGGGGAGGCTGGAGCCTATCCCAGCCGACTTAGGGCGAAGGCAGGGGACACCCTGGACAGGTAACCAGTCTGCAGCCCAAACTACAGCCTCAATGTTAAAAGCCAACACAGCTGGTAACAAAGACGATTACACGAGTAGCTTCCAATGAAGGTTTATTGAATGAACACGGTCATCAAAGAACCTGAAGCAGTGGTTAGGAACCGTGCAACCAACAGGAGAAAGTGCAGGGACATGATTCACTTCTGAAGCAACCTTTCTTTGAAAAACAGGAATGAGTGATTGTGAACCTGTGAAAACTGGTGTTTCAGTGCCTGGTGAGGAAGTGTGAAGGGCATTGCATGAAGTCAACCCTCGGCACGTGAAAAGAAGCCTGATGAATCATGGCAGTGGTACATTCATTGGTGAGATGAAGCCTAAATAAATGGTTGTATCGGATGGGGTCCTGGATCGACTGCACAGGGCCGACCTCGACGCTTGGACCTGCTTGAGTTCCTTGAAGACGTTCCACCTCTCATCCAAGAGGCTTCATCAGCTCTGACTGACTAGTTGGGAGTTCCAGATATCCTTAAGGAGCCCTTAACACCTGAGTTTCGGTTTCAATTGGGGGTTAACGGCTCCTTAAGTATATCTGAAACTCCCAACTAGTCAGTCAGAGCTGAAGAAGCCTCTTGGATGAAACGTCTTCAAGGAACTCAAGCAGGTCCAGCTGCTACGATTAATCCACGACCTGGATGACTGAGAATCTTCTCAGACAAGTGTAGATGATGTGATATTTATAGCTGACACTGTGAATGCAAGTTTAAATACAAAAAATGCTGAATAAAAAAGGCGACTCCCAGCCTCTAGAAGCTTTGTACAGAATGAAAACACAACAAGATGCTTTAGTAGAAAATAAGACCTTAGAGTCCCTTGACAAGGAGCCAGCAGTGGAAGGTGGAGCAACAAAAGGCCTGCAGGAGAGAGAACAGAGCAGCAGAGAGGAAAGACTTTAGTAAATTAACATTTTATTGTACTTATTTTTATAGATCACATTATACGATGCACAGACAGAAAAGCATCTTTGCATCCAGCAGGAAACTTAATCCTGAAAAATATAAATATGACAAAATATAATAACATATATTTTAAAGTCCCTTCAGGACGAGCAGCACTTCCTGCAGAATATAATTCCTCGCTCTGCTGAGCAGCTCTGACACAACGCGGTCGGGAAAATGAGCTTTTGTGCTCATAATACAATAAGGCAAAGGAGTCTGAATGAGCTTTAACACCGTACACGATGCTCTTTTCCAGTGGCGCTAAGTAAAATTAGGACGGTAATGCAGCTGCTGAAGAGGCACTTAGCCACAAAGGATAAAGACACATTTAAACCCACAGCTCCTGCTCACAAGGACGACTCCAGCGACGGTGTTTAACCTCATCGGTTATAATGAACACGCTGCAGA